GTAATAAGAGCGAAGGGAAGAAGGCTTGTCTGAACACCGGTGGGCGACCGCAAGCTGTGTAGGCGGGCATGTGCTGGAACATTTCTGGGCTGTTCCGCAGTGGGTGCGCGCTGTCGGGGAGCCGGAGAAGGGGAGCATGAAAGAGAGACCGTCCTCTCCCCACCCCTGGGCTTTTGGCAGCGTCTGGCTGTCGGCAGCCGCCCGATCCTCAGGGAGATGCTCGGAAACCTTGTGAAAGGGACGAGAAAGAGACGGATCGCCCACTGCAGCCCTTTTTGATCCGGCAGGAGAGGGGGGGGAAGCGCAACAGCACGAGAAGGCAGGATTCTGTGGAGGAGACCGTCCTGCTGGGAAAGGCAGGAAGCCAAAGGGAAGAGGAGGACTGAATGTGAGATGGATCTACTCCCTAAAAGAAACCACGGTGGTTGCATTTTCAAGAGCCTGTTTCAGATGAGGCGTTCCGGAGGTCACCTGTGCAAGGGGTTACCATGAGTCAGAGGCGACTTGACAGCATATTCACAACCCTTAAAGGATCAATTCAAGGGGTCCAGTGCCACTCGGGCAGCGTGGCTGCCAACTCGGCACAGGACAGCAAATGCCAACTCCCAGCTTCCAAATTCCTGGCGGTTTTGCCCAGCGATTGGATCGGATCCCTTCCCTAGAAGCCTCCTGGTTTTAGTTGATTTCATTTCCTTTGGCCCGCCTGACCGCAGGCAGAGCGGACTCCCACCCGTGGGCGTCCAACGGCCTCCTCATACTTGCCTTTGTGTATATCTCTGAGGTTACAACTTCCTTTTCCTTTCCACTTGATAGGGCCAGCCTTGTAACCGGAGCTGAACCAGCCGGATTGGGGCCTAGGTGGGCCTTTTCCGGGGGGGGGGAGTAGTATGGAGCTTCCGAAAACTGCTCCTCTTGGCGGCTGGCACATGGGACCTGGGCCCATTCCCGCTGCACCCGTTAGCCAGCTGGGAGCTGGCCGCTTCTCACATTTGCACAGAGCTACCGAGTCTTCATGTGGCTGTTTTTCTCGATATCGCCACCCCCGCTGCTGCCACCCCTATGAGTGTTTGCAGGAGTTGTTGTGACTTGCGGTCAAGTTGCCTCTAAGTTATGGTGACTCTTGAACGGAACAACCTCCCAAATCTCCCTTGCCCTGAGAGTCACATCTTCCGGCACTATCACTACTTTCGTTTTGGCTCTGTCCCAGCCATCGAGTCACCTCTGACTCCTGGCAACCGAATGGATCTTTTATCCTGTAGCCGTGCCTGGGAGAATATTACGGATATTAATTTTCTTTTGAAAATTATTAATGCAGTATTTTTTTTAGAACTTAAGACCATCAAGGCACCTGGTTGAACTGACCAAATCGAACTGGTGAGAAGAGGCGGCAAAGTAGAAGGCCTTTGAATGGCGGAGATTTTCAGGACAGCTTGTTATTTGACAAGGATTTATGGATATGGAGCCTGTTTCGATGGAGCAAAGCAATGAGATAGAATCAACCACAGAATGGAGCCGGGGGGGAACATTCTGCACATGCCCAGAGACACCCTTTCCAAATAAAGAGTTATCTCTCTCTCCCTCTCTCTCTCTCTCTTCCTCTTGTGTTGGGTGATGTTGCTCAAACCGGGTGTTTCTGCCGGCGCACCTGCTCGTCTCCGGGCGAAGGGTTGCGTGGGTGGAAGCCTGTGGGTGAAAGAAAAAGAGAGAGAGAAACTACGGGAGCGGGTGGCTTTCCTGTCGCTGAAAAACCCCAAACCCAAAAGCACAAGATGATGAAAGGACACCCTGCCAGCGAGGAAGGAAGGAAGGGGACGGTCGTCTTGGTCAACGCTAGAGGAAGGGAGATGGAGGTGAATTCGCACACAGATCCCCACCCTTTCCTCTGCGGCCCATATCTGGGGCAAAGGTGGCCCCCACGCCTTTAATAAACGACCCTTTATTCAAAGAGATGCTTAACGCCTCGCTTCCTAAAAGCTGAAGTGCTGGACTAGGCCTCAGGAGATCTGGGTTCAAATCTCCGTTAGGCCGTGCAAGCTCCCGTGGGGGGGTCGGCTTAACTTTACATGAAAGGCATACAAAATGTGTGGGTTTTTTTTTTCCTTCCTTCTTTTCCAAGTGAGAAACATCACGTTGTGGTCATCTGCCACGATTCAAGGGGCGCACCGAAGTCACAGACCTCTCGCACTCGGGTCCGACTTCCTGCAAGCTGCCAGGAACTCTGCTCGAACATGACTCCTGGCCGAGAAGCGCTTCTGCCTGCTCAGCACCCACCCCTTATAAAATAAAATTCCAAACTCCCATCTTCATCAATACTGTACAGTACTTGTATTTCTGCCTCTGGAAATGTTATCCTGTGTCGGGCAGCGACACAGCTCCTTTCCAGCATCATCCCCGTGCGCCCCCCCCCCCGCTGTTGCAAACAGAGGATTTTTGAGTCCTTTCTTTGCAAAAACGGGGATGAGTCAACCTGATGACAGCCGGGCACACATCCCCCTTCATGCCGCCGGTTGGGGAAAAGGTCACCCACGAGCCCCCGGGGAGAAAAATAAAGCAGGTTCTGCCGCTTTGGTAGCTGACGTGATGAGCAATGTGCAGCCTCCGGAGTTTTCATGGAGCGCCTGGGTGTGAGAGGGTGCTTTCGAACTCTGCCCGGCCTCCATGCGAGATTTCCGAGTTCTTTACTGGAGCGGTCTCATCCAGATCGGACGCGTGTACACATCACACCAAAAGATGCACCTTGGCAGAAAACTCCTACTTTGCCCCTGAGCCAAATCGATCCTCAGCCTGTCCCTTAACTATTCGTTCCGAAGGCTTTGAGGCTGAGCTCAGCCTAGCTTCCTGTTCCTGTCTAGCAATTGCACCGTATAGACACCTAAATGTGGCTCACCCAGGAACTGGAAGGCCGAGCTTGGCCTAGTTTCCTGTTCAGAAAGAAAGCTCCCACCTAGCACTGGGGATGAAACAGGAAGCTAGGCCTAGCTAGGCCTTTTGCCCAGGCGAGCCACAATTTGGCAGAGGAAGGGTATCTTCCTGTCAGGTGCTGTTGTTGTTATGGCCCTTTCTGGGAGCCTGAGGAAAGGCAGCAATCCCCATTCAATCACACAAACGTGGTTAGATCCCGAGATTCAAACGTATCAGAATTAATTGCTCTTTTTTCCACCACATAATTTCCCCCCTGCATTGCCTGTCCCCATCCATGACATGGAACTAATTGCTAAAGTGAGTCGTTGAATTCATCGCGTGCCTATCTGCCTATTTCTTCCAGCAAACTCAAGGTTGCGCCCACAGCTGTCCTCCCCGTTGTCTTCACAACAAGCCTGTGAGGTGGTTCAGCTGAGAGAGAGTGCGTGTGGCAGGCTCAAGGTAACTTCCCTAGATTGTACGGCTTCTTGACAGGTGCGAATACCAGCCTCCCAACAGTTCCGTGCTTGTAACTTAAGATATCCCGTTGCCTTTCCTGGTGATGAAGCATGCCTAGCCAATAACAACCGCTCTTGGGAATCCATTTTCAAAAAATGTGAAGAGGCAAACATTCGACTCAACTTTTAGGGCTTTGTAACCTCCGTGGCACCTGGCAGGACTTTGGCTCACCTGGGTGAAAGGCCTAGTTAAGCCCCACTTCCTGTTTCAGGCAGAACCCCCGACCTAGGAAAGCTGTAGGTTTTGAAAGAAAGGCTAGGAAACTGCAGGGGCCATGCAAGGCTGAAAGCAGCAGCATACCGTGTGGGAGGATGATGGCAACGGATTTCTGAGAAGTAAGACACGAGGATTTCCCTCTTCGGCCCCATAAGAGGATCGATGTGGCTTTCACACGCCTCCAGCAGCGAAGATTTTGGGTGCCGACAGCCGAGGCCTCTCTGCTAAGCCTTGTCATGCTTTGGGATTGGTTGAGGGTGAAGCGAGAACCAAAAGGCACGAATGGAAACTAAACCTCTCTTTTAAAAAAATTAAAATTGAAATTTTTGAATCCCATTCCAGGGCAGCACAAAATCCCACAACTAGAAAGTACAGTACTTTTAAAAGGGACACAAATGGCTACGTCAGGGACTGGGACAGTGAATCTGGATCCTTGCTCTCTGGAAGCCAGACTAGCGCTCCCATCATCCACAGTCCCCTACATTTTTGGGGGGGATGATGGGAGCCCACATCCCTCAGCTGCTAGAGGGCCTCAGGCTCCCTCCCTTTGGCTTGGATAATCCAGCGAGCAATCCTCCAGGTTGGCTGGAAGGCAACAGCGCCCTTCCAAGTGCCAGCTGGCAGGCCACAGTAGACTGCTCCTGCAGATGGAGGTCCTGTTTTGTTACCAGAACAGGGTGCTTGCTGCAGGAGCAGCCCTGCAGGAGGAGAAACCCAATTTATTTACAACAACCTCTTAAGTCTCTTTTGCCAATAGATTAGGTTATATCTGCCTTGCCCCTAAAATATTTCAGAATTAAAAAAAATTATTGTTCTAACTAGAGGGTGCAAGAAATGTCTTTTCAAGGGGAAAATATTTTTAAAAAGTTTATAAGGTGGGTGATTTTGCCGGGGGGGTTATATCTGCCTCTGCCCAAAACTATTTTATAATTTTAAAATCTTTTCGCCGGTAGAGGGTTCAAGAAAGCTCTTTCCATTCCTTTTTAAAAAAATTTTTATATTTTTAAAATTTTCTAAGGTGGATAGTTTAGCCATGGGGAGGATTATATATGCCACCACCCAAAAGTATTATGATTTTAAAAATATTTTTGGCCACTGGGGGGTGAAAGAGAGCTCTTCCCATTTAAAAAAAACTTTTTTAAAAAAGCAACTTTTAAGCTGACAGCTGAAGATGGGTCTTGAATTTACTCATTCCTGGGATAAGAGACTGCAGTCTGAAATACTGAGATTTGACTCATCCACTGTCCTTTTATTTAACGTGCCTGAGTTTTGCAAAACTTTTCCCCTCTAATTCTACCTCCCCCCAAGCCCTCCCTCCCATTTCCCATTTTTAAAAAACGAAATCCAGCTTACACAATACCCAATGTGGCTCAAGCATTCTTTATTTTGTGTTTATTATTTTAAAACCATGTTTAAAAGTTTCTTTTTTTTTAATACAGGTAACTTAAATGAGGTGATAAAACAGGTCTACTCATTTCCCCCCCAGAAAAACCCCTTTTCACTGCTCCTTCCATACACTTGATTCACACAGACAGGTCCATTTCCCCTTGCTTTTGTAATGCTTTTGACTCTCCTCTTTGCTGTTATACCGACTTAAAAAAACACACACACAACAACAAGCGAACAAACAAACAAACAAAAGATAAAGGAGGGGAAAGGTCAAAGCCATCAAATCGAGAAGGTTGGGTGGAGGAATATTCAATAGACACACACCATTAAAAAGAGTACATTTAAATATTTAATAAAAAAAGACATTTAAAAAATTAAAAACCTTCTACACAACATCACATACAAAGGAATTTCACATCTAGGAGGGGGAAAAAACCAAAAACAGGAAGTGTAAAGACACTTTTGGACCAGAAGGGGAGCAGTTTTCCTGTCACCCTCTAGTTGGCAAGAAAACTAGTCTCAAGGCAAACCACAGAGAGAAAAAGACAGACAAGACCCAAATAGATTTTTGTTGTTGTTAAAAGTCCTTGAATGACAGAGTGTCGGAGAAGTAAATATAGAGAAGTAAAGATTAATGGGAGCGAATGATTTCAATGTTGAAGGGAAGTGCAGGGAATCTGGTTTTGGTCTGAACTTTAAAGTTCGGATGAAAACAGTGTGGAGTCAACCTGTTTTGAGGGTTTAAAGGGCCTTCTGGAATATGAGAGTTATTTAGAGAGTCCAATTTTCAGATTTAAAAAAATTGTAAATTTAACTTGGTCCACAGAAAGATAAGAGCAAGAAAAGCAAGGAACAAGTCAAATTCATATTCTTATTCAGAGTGTCTTCTCCAACAGCCCCATTTCAAACACAGATTAATCTGCATTTTTGCAAAATTCAAATCCCATCCGTATGTTTTTAAATCACGTCTCTTCCCCCCTCCTGCCCTTCATGATTGTATTTGTATTATTTCTAAAAAGAAAGCATATTATGTTAAGCAGAACAGATACATTGCCAACAGAATGTTTGATCATGAACTTTCTTAACCATGCAACATTTTCATTGTGGAAATTTTGAAATTCGTTATAATTTTATTCAAATCCATGCAGATTTCTTAGGACAAAAGAGACGAGGTAAATTCGGGATGAATGGAAAAAATTCTTCCTGTTGGCTCCTGATTTCTTAATATCTGAACAAGTGAAATTTTTAAAAACTTTGCTGAGGTCCTCCAGGATCATAGAGTTTGTTCCTGGCACTTCCTGTTTTCACTCGATCATCTTCTATTGGTTGGGCTCCCAGGAAGTGATGGGCGGAGCTCACAAGGCCTCTTTAAAAGGAGCTCAGGGAAAACCCGGCTGTCACATGGGAAAAGACCAGGAGTGGAGATGTACCTTTCCAGGACTACACCACCCATCATTTTCCCCCAGACAGCAAAGATGGATTTGAGGATTTTGGGATTTGTAGTTTTAAAAAAACTGAAAAATAAAAAAAAAAGTTTCTAGTTTCCGGCAATAGAGAAATTGGAGGGTGAGAAAGGGGGCGTAAGCGAGATCCAGGCAAAGGAGGAAATAAATACTGAATCAGATGTGCAAAATAAAACAAAAAATTGAAATAATAATTTCAAAAGTGAGGCACTTGCTTTAGAAATTTATTCTCCTTTTTATCCACACACCCCTTGGCATTTTTTCTCTCTCTTTCCTTTATTTATTTATTTATTTAAAAAGCACACAACGGATAACAAGTAGTGTTAAAAACCTCTGGATTAAGGCCTAATCCAGCAGCGAGCAAATTGGGAAAATTCCCACCCCGCCGACTCTCAACTATTGATTTACTGAAAGATAAGAACCAATGGCAACCGAGCAAGACCCCCCACACACACACACACAAACTGAGGAAGAAACACTGAAAGCGGGAGGGGAGGCATAACGAGGCAACAGATAAAATGGGTTATTTAGAGTGGGGACGGCTCAGCCATCCCTGGTTTCCCCAAAAGAACATCAACACATGCTTTACGTCGACAACACACTCGGGGGGGGGGAANCGGTGGAAGGAAATTAAGGCTCAGGGGCAAAAAAATAGGTTCTGGCTCCCCAGAAGTTGCTGTGGACTCCAGGCCCCATCAGGTCCGGCTGTGTTCAGGTCTGATGGGGAGTGTAGTCCATTCTGATCTGCAAGGTCAGGCTCCCCCTGCTCCCACTCTCGTCTTTAAGCTACCGCAGCCCGAAATTCACACCCTTTTGTTTTTAGAGCAGGAGGGCAATGCTTCTAATATGCAACACGCTTAACCAAAACAAATCCTTAGAAAGAAGGTTTTAAGGTAGATTTGGGAATGGTAGGGTATTTTTTTTTGCAGGGGCCCCGTTTCCTGCATTAAAGCCCACCCCCAATGTCTAAGATTGGGTTTTGACTGCTCACCCTAATGCAGGCACCCCCATGGCCCACGAAGGCAAGCGACTCCAGTTCCATGGGGACAGAGAATCCATTCCATGAATTTTCTTCATTTTAGAAGCTGGCGAGGAAGGAAACGCCTACTGAATCTGCAGACATATTCTTGTTAGGATTAGCAATTCAATTGGGCCTCGCTGAAGCAGGGGCTGCCTCAGTTTTAAAACAAACCAGCATCTGGATTTATGGATTCCTCCTTGTTTCGGTTTTCTGTTTACCTGTGGAAAAAAGACTCGGCCAGATGCAAAAGACAGACATCCCCCCTTGACTCTCTAAAAAACCGAACAAGCATGGATTCCCTAAGACACCCACACGCCGGACCAAGATTTTACAACTGATGCAGGGAGGGAACATACTATAACTAATGGCTCAGATAATCAAGTCTATAAATAATATATATTGTGGTTTTCTTTTCTGTAAAGGAATGGGCCGAAAGTTTGCCACTGAGGGGCGGAAAGAAGAGTGAGAGGAGAAACCAAGGTGGGTCTCCACAAGAGGGTGTACATTTTTGGGTCCGGAGTTGGGAGGGTGGGTGGCTGAAGTTGCCAGATGGTGGAAAGGGATGTGTGTGTTGAAGGATTCGAACGAGGCAGATCCAAAAAAAAACAAACCCCAAAAAACCCCTCTCTAGCGGTTTTAATGCACCCCATCGGGGAAATAATATATATAGATAACACCAGTAAGTTGCGCCGGGAATGTACAATGCAAAACAGGACAAGAAAAAGGCAGAAGTGGAAGATCGTACGGACATCCTTCCTCTGAACACTTTCCAGCCCGCCACCCCTTCGAGGTAGGCTCGGGCGGAAGGGAAGGGAGATCCCACACATTCTCGTGAACTGACGTCACTCCACGATTTACACCTCTTATAAAGTGCATGCGGTCCTCGGGACAAGAAAAAGACGCAGGATGGAGGACGAGAAGGGAAGGGGGGTGGTTAGATCAGACAGCTCCAGACTGGGAAATGCTACATTAAAAAAAATTGAGAAAAGGACAAACAAGGAACAGGGAGTCAAACAGACACACAGGAACACTCATGTCAAATGCTGGGGAACCTTCTCACTGCCTGCCCCCCCCCCCCCCGGGATCTGGGCCTCCCTCATTCAGCCTGAAGAATGCAGAGGGCTCCCTGTGATGCAGAAGTCACCCAAATAACATATATATTTTTTAAATGAATAAAATTAGAAGAACCAGAATAACATTCCTAACGAGTCACGCACCGCCTCCCACTTTTAGGGAGGAAAGCAAACCTCCGTGTCAGTTTCACAGGGAAGAAAGCAAATGTCCAAATTCCAAAATCCCGCCCGCCCGCCTCCCCCCGAAAAAAACACCAGCCCAGAATAATCCCTAATTTCCCTCCTCCCGTCCCTGGGGAGGGAAAAAAAAAAACAAAAAAATTAAACCCCACCAAAATGAAATCAGGGTCAAATCCTCATCCTTCCGAGGTCCACGCAGCTGAAAAGTCCATTGCTTTGCCATCGTCTGAACGAACTTCTCGATCACGTGTCGTGCTAAGGCAGCCGTGTTTCCTTCTTCAATAGCAAAGCATCCCCCCTCCAAAAATCACCGTTTTTTCCCTCCCCCCCTTTTTCCCAGAAAAGAAGAAGAGTTTGCCAGGGAGGGAGCTCCCCTCCCCTTTTCGCTCTCTCATCCCTGGAAGAAACTGTTTTTCCATCTCCCTCCGTAGGCCCCGAAATGGTTTTCAGTTCTTTAAAATAAAAAGCAGAGCAAGGGGTTTTGGGGAAATCATAGAAAATACTGTTCCAAAGGCGGGACATCTCATCCCCCCTCAAGACCTCTGAAGGGGGGGGGGCAAAAATTAAAAAATTAAAAAAAAGAAGGTCCGAACCAAGAAAATCCACAGCGATCGAGTCTTTGAGAACCAAGCACCCAAAGGCAGGGGAAAAAACCCACATCGCTCTCGTCCATCCAAATCAACAACAACAAAAAAGAGTAATGTTAATTATTACTAAACAGTCTCTTGGTTTTTTTTCCCCCGACGCAGCCTCCCTCGAAATTCCTCCATCTCTGTCCCCATTCGAGGCTCATGATCAAATTTTTTTTTTTATGCTACAACAAATTCCGATTTCAGGTCCGCCTTCACGTCGGGCTTCCACACCGAGTCTTCGAAGTCTAAATCGAGGCTTCCCTCGCTCGAAATGCTACTGTTGCTGTTGGCCCGGCTGGCTTTCCGGTTGGGCAGCCAGTGGTAGGGGGCTCGGGCGTCCCGGCGGGCTTTCCGGCGCAGCCGCTTCTGCTGCATGAGGAGCTGCAGGCGCTCGACCTTGCAACGGGTGGCGCGGTTTTCCGTCTGGCGCACGCGGTCGCCTGAAGGCGGGGGGGGGAAGAGAAGAAAGCACAACATTAAAATGCAGCCCCAAAAGAGGGGAGATCCATCAGCATCATCAGCATAGAACGGCAGAGCTAGAAGGGATCCCATAGATCATCTAGTTCAGCCCCTGTCAAGGAGGCCCAATAAGAGATTCGAACTCCCAACCTCTGGCTCTAAAAGAGTAGACCTTTGGTCGAGATGGGTGGGATAGAACAGCAATCAATCAATCAATCAGTCAGTCAATCAATAAAAACCAGAGACCAAAACCCCTGAGCTATCCAGCAGCTGAATAATAATCTTAGAGCAGAAAGGGTCCCCCAGAGATCATCCAGTCCAGTACCTGTCAAGGAGGCCCGGTGAAGGATTTCAAACTCTTTGCCTCTGGATCTGCAGCCAGAGACCACAATCCCTGAGCTAGGCAGTGATTTGTGTTCATCTAAAACCACATATTCCAAACAAAACTGGGCCTTCTATCAAAATGTAGGAGGTCTGGATGCCATGGGAATGGCTACATCTTGCCATGTCATAAAGCAGAGTGTCGGCACCCATCATTTGTCTCTGAAATGCAAGCTCGAATCTGATGAGATACAAATGGTTTAGGCTTTTTTTCTGGTTAGAGGGGGAAAATGAGAGAAGGGGCTAACTTTAAAGGTGCGTGGCACACAAACTGAGCTCTTTCTAGCAGCAAAAAGGACAACTAGCTTTCCCATCATCCCGCACAACGTGGGAGAGGGGACCACGCACAATGGGAACTGAAGGCCGATACTCTCCACTCCTTCCTTCCTTCCCTCCCCCACAGCGCTCTTCTCGTACGTCAGGTTTGAAGATGCCGGTGGCCACCACCACCCCGTCCCCTGGCGCACGCTTGACGCAGACGCCACGCCGGTCCCTGAGCATGGGCGAGCATCCTTAGGCCCCCGTCGCCACGGCAACGGAGGCAGGAAGCATCCGCCAGCCAACTATGGAATCCAGGATCTATCTTTTTTCTCTCTTTTTTTTTGTTTTGGCACCTTCTCTTTCTCTCACACCCCCTCCTGAACTAGTCCTCCCCCCAGCGGCCACTACTGGGGTTCGGATCACTTCCCTTCCACGAACCGAAGCCACGCTTTCACGCCCGCCTCCTCCTCTTTTTCCCCCATGAAAAGGAGGTCGAGAGAGTGCAGTGTGTGTATGCTTGTGTCTCCCTCTCTCTCTTTTTCGCTCGCTTTTAGCTGTGCGTAGGCGGGCGAACAATTGAACGTTTACAGAGATGAGGCTGGAGAGCGACGGAGGAAGAGGAAAAGCAAAGCCCACTCCATCGTAAACTTGGCCACGATGCTGGCTCCCTTCCCCGACACCCGTTCAAGTCTCTCTTCATCTCAACGCCGCCGCCCCCTTCCCCAGCCGCAGGCGGGGGTGGCAAAGATGTCCCCAAGTTTTGCATTGGGTATGTGTGTGTGTGCGAAAAGTGTGGGGATGGGTAGAGCAGAATAGCCCCCCCGCAAGTCCCAGAGATGAGGCCACCCCTTCCTCTCCGGAGAAGGGAAAAGCCCTGAGCAGAGAGGCAGGTCTCTCTTTGAACTCACGAAGCAGGGAAGGCTGGATTGGTTAGTGCCAGAAAAACTGACAATCAGAAAGGTCCCTCCCAGCCGAGTCCACTAAAGGCAGGATGCGAGGTTGCCAAAACTCCCAACAGATTGAGTGGGAAGGTGAACGTTGTGAATGAAATCAGAGGGAAGATCAAAATTCGGCTCGGATTTGACCGGAACCAGAAGAGCGGACAGAAAGTCATGGATTTCTTGAAGATCAATAAGGCCACAGCTACAACATCAAAACAATCCATCCCATTGTCTTTCAGGGTTTTATTTTCTCCCTGCAAGGGATGAACGCTACTAGCTTTTAGCGGGGGGGGGAGACGGACCCCAGAGAGTCAAACGCAAAATGAGGGACTCAAATCTGATTGGGAATTTCAGCAAAGGCCATCGCCTTGAGAGGAACTAATGGCACAAGAGTTGTTGAATTCACTGCATTCCTATCTGCCGATTTCTTCCAGCAAACTCGAGGTCCTCCCACATCCCTCCTATTTAGAAATCAAAGCCGCCCCACTTCATGCTGCGCCTGAGTCGCCCCGCTTGGTCGCGCAGCATCCTGTTTCGGTAATGATGACGCTCACGGGCAGAACCGCCAGGATTGGGGCTGATAAAAATACACAAGATGGGTTTCGTCATCCGAGCCTCTTTTCCTCGCATGATCCAGGCAGGCATCACAGCAGAGAGAGAGAGAGAGAGTGTGTGTGTTAAAAATGGACCTGAATCAAGGCGAAGGCAGGAAGGGAGAAAAAGGTATACACACACGTAGAAAACAGATTTTCCATAGTTTTTGCAGGCAGTAATAGGGTGAAAAGCAGCAAAAATCTGTTAAGAATTAACTCACTGCTCCCGTGCCCTTAAGCACAGAAGGGCACCGGTGACAGCCGGGGGCGGTTTTTATTTGAGAAGCATTCATGCAAAGAGAGATGGGTGGTGCCATCGCGTCCAAGAAGGAGAAACCAAGCAGACTAGCTCAGAACAACAATGAATTGGCTTCAGAACAGGCCTCCTGGCCCAGCGACAGCCCTGCCAGGCGGGCCGGGAGGAGGACGGCAGGACAGGTCCCGTCCCATCCCTGTCCCCCGGAAAAAAAAGCCACCAACGGATTTCTCAGCACAAGCCAAAATTTAGAAGTGCCAAAACAGCAGGACAGGCGAATCTGAAGAGCCGCTGGGTTTCCCTGGGGAGGATGGGAGTTGGAGTTGCAGGCACTTGGGGGGGTTTACGAAAGCTGCCTGGCGGGTCTCAGAGCCATGGAGAGGCAGAGGAAGCCTCGCCCCCACTCTTGGTTCCCAGCAGGGTTCCTGGAGCTCAGCTGAGCAGCAAGAAAACTACACTTTGCGCATGCTTAGAGGCTTCCTCCTGTTTTGGGAGCCAAACATGGAGGCAACGTGGGGGTGGGGTGCGGGAGACCAATGTGACCCGCACCTTCCAGGTTCAGAGTTGGAACAACGCGGGCACCCTCGCTCCGACACCCCACAAATCCACGGTGTCTCTCTTAACGGCCAACCCTGCAGGGGAGGACGCGTGGATAATGGAAACAGGCGCTCGCTGGCGATGGGTGGTGGAGAACCCGGTCAACGGGCGCAAGAGAAAGCACGAGCGGGTGGTGACGGGAAGTGTGAAAGAAAGACCCATGGAGACCCAAGTGTTGTCGAAGTGGGTTCGTCCCCCTGAGCAGCTAGCTTTCTGCTGGCGGGGAGGCCTTGGCTTATTTATTTCTAGCCAATGCAGGAAGCGAACGTGGCATGCATTAAACATGGAGGTTTTTCTTCCATGTGCTGTCTGAAAATCATCTGGTCCCCCCCCCCCCCGCCTGCCTGTGCGTGAGGCTGGTGTCACGTCTCCGACAGTTGGCATCTGGTGCCCCCCCTCCCGGTGCCCTCTCTCGCTCTGTCTGTCTCCGTGGTATTTTATTTCCTCTCTGGTGCCGGGCCAAAGAGACCTCCCCGGCTGCCAATTTTGCAAGTGTGACGTTTCTAGGCCAGCGTGAGCCGAGGAGGCGGTGGAAAGGGGGGGGGAAGGAGGGGGCGCCGGCTTGTGCCGCCGCACGCCAGGAAAGCCGAAGGGAGCCAGCGGGAAAGAGAAAACACTTCCCAGAAATCCACAGGCAGGGTCGGGGGTGGGTGGGGAAGGGGGGGAGAAAGCGCCAACCCCTGACGCCAGCGGTCCCGGGTTGGGTGGCAGAGCGATGACGAGAGCATGAACCCGACCAGCCAGCAAAAGAGAGGAAAGAGAAAGGAGAGGTTCTCGCACTCGCAGCCCATTGGAACTGCTCTCCCCAAAACGGCGTTGGCCGTGGTGGCGATAAAATGGGCTTCTATGTCGGTCCAAAGACTGGAAGAGACGGCGGGGCCCATTTAAGCTAGAAATCAGGAAGTCAAGGCATCCCTGCAGGCAGAAAGTTAGCTGCTCAGGGAAACGGACGCCCGATCCCAGTGCAACTGGATTCTTCGTTGCTACCTGCCTGGGGATGTTCGGGATTCCCCAGAGGGCCTCTCCAGGAGAGACCGGAGACCCCGATTTTGGGTGGGTGGGGTGGTCAGACCCGGTCTGCCTTTCAACCGAAACTTTACACAAAAGGGCCAAGGTCTCTTCTGCTCCCAGCTTGGGATTGGCCCGCCTGTCCACTTTCCTTTATAAAATCGGGACCAAAACCCAGAGCGGATCTATCACCCGGACCTTTCTCAGCATGGGGAGGCAGAATTTCTTTCACCATCTCTCCTGAGGAACAGCCCTGTGGAATTCCAAAGCTTTCATCCTTTGGGAATTTATTGCTGATCCCAAGGAAAGCGTTTTCCTCTATGCATTTTGTTTTCTTTCTAGAGATGACCATGAATGCTGTTTCTTCTGTGGGGCGAAATTAACTCCCCCTCCCCAATTTAACCCAGATCATCCCTGCTTTGAACTCTGCATCTCACTTGTGATTTTTAAAATTTTTTTATTTTTATTTTTTTGCTTCTGGATAGCCCAGGGGTCAAAGTCTCTGCCTGTGGAGCCAGCGGCTGAGAGTTCGAATCCTGTGCCTCCTTCAGAAGGGCTGGACTTGATGATCTTACAGGGTCCCTTCCAGCTCTGCAAATCTAAGATGATTTTCTCTCCTTTTCAGGACTTCTCCCATGGTCAGAAATGGACAGGGTGGGGACCAGTATCTTTCTAAGAATCATCCTTTGTGAATGCTCTTTTAAAGAGCCATTAAAATGCCTGCATAGGAGGGTGGCAGATGGGGAGGGGAGTTATTTGCATGCCGATGGTTTTGGAAAGGTGATAAATCTCCCCCAGGTCTTAAGCCCTATTTCCTAGGGGCTGCAGGGAGGTCTATAGAAAAGAAGTCTATTGGGGTTAAATTACCCATTTGCCTATGCAAATGTAACCCAGTCAAGAACAAAGGAAGCATTCAAAATCCCATCAGGTGAGGAAGGAGCACCTATTCATCAGCAACCTCAGAGCCATCACCGGCCTTTAAAAAAAAAAGCCATGAAACGACTGAGATCCTGGAGGGCATGTTTCTGTGCTGGGGGAATGAACCATCTCAAAAATGCCTTCTTCCCCAAGGCCCTGCTCTGCTCTTGCAAACTCAAAAAGTTGTGGTTTCCTCCAGGGGTCCATCCATTACACATTGGGTCCTCCTCTCTTCCTACTGCCTTCCGCTTTTCCCTCCCCCAGCTTTCCAGCCGGATTTAATTTCTCATGATGGGTCCCCCCAAAAATAAGACTTCCATTTAGAAACATTTCTCCTACCCAGAGATTTCGGGTTGGGGGGGTTGTTGTGCAGCCACCCAAATTACACTCCCATGTGCCTGCATCTACACAGGCTGGGTTTCTCCAGGTGAATCCTGGGAATTGTAGTTAAGGGAGGGATTCCGTGGGATGAAGCCATGACCACTAGATCAGTCCGTCCCGTTCCCCCCCCCGCCCCCGAACTCAAGACTCTCCTGGGAACAAACTCTACAGGGAGCCAGAAAATATTCACATTTCTGCAACTCAGTTTGAATTCCGGGAGATTTCCACCCGATTTGCAAGAATTTGGAAGTGGGAAAACAATGTTCCAGGTTGAGGTGGAGGGATGGGTGGGGAGTTCCTTTCTGTAGGGATTCCTACAAATCCCATCCTACTTCCACCAGCAGGGCTGAAGGGGGTGATGGGAGTTGTAGTCAAGGGGGGAGAAGAGGGACTTTTCCCCATCTCTGCCTACTGCAGACCTCAAACTAGGTCTTGGTGGCTATTCATCCTGCGACTCTTCCCGTTTTGGGTAGGAATCTGCCAGCTTGCAGGTAGACTGCTGCTGGCCAGCAGGAACGACACACTAAGAATGATGCATTAGACCAAAGCCAGGTAATTCCTGCTAGCAAATCCCTTTTGAGAATGAGACAAGATTCAACCCATTTCCTAAAGCTGGAAACTCAGGCGACAAGCAAAAAAACCCAAAATAAAATAAATTTACATTCAGCCTAATTTTAATGCTTCTTTACACCAGCAGGAAGATCAGTGGAATTCATTGTGCTTCCAGCCGCTTGTCAAAACTCGCTGCCTCCATTTTTTGGGACTCAAGGTGACATTTAAACTTTCCTATCTCTGAAGTTACGAAAAGCCCCATGGGAGACAAAGTTTGGAAGCAACCCCCAAACCCTGACTTAAAAAAAAAAAACACAAATCTTGTGCTCTTTGATATTTTGGTACGCCCATAAAGGTTGTTCCCAACTGGAAGTAATGAAACACTTTTATTCTTTCTCCTACAAATCTATTGGGAGCGAGTCCCTGTGCCCTTACATACCGGCTCATGAGAAAGGGGTGGACTCTTTGGGGGACTTGGAGCTATTCTGCCCCGCAAATCTGTGCCCTTCCCACCGCGTCGCACACACGGAATTTTACCAGAAATTCAAGACTCTGTCCAGGGAAGAGCACGTGGGCCTCCCCATTCAAAGAACTCACCAGACGGTTTGCAGGCGGCCGCTTGGCCAGGATACTGAGCTGCCAAATAAAAGGGCTGGCTAGCCGGAGTGGCTGTTTTCTCTGAGGTAGCGCTGTGGGAGAGATCCGGGGAGGACGGCGGCGACGGAGACAACGAACACTGCGTCTGGCATCGCAGCTGGTTCAACGACTGGGGCATGCCCTGGTAGTGCCGCGTGGCGCTCAGGAGGTCATTGAGAATCTGGAGGATGGTGCCGATATCTCTCCGCGGCCGGCCGCTGCTGTCCTGGCAGTTCGGGTGCAAAGTGCCTGCAAAAAAGTGAGGGGTCAACACAACATCCTTCACTTAAAGCAGAAGCCACTGGACTTCCTTTACAACAAAACAAAAAAATTAAAACTCAAGTTCCTAGTCCTCATGGCAAGTTTCTTCAACCTAAATCATTCCAGCACTGGGCAGTCTTTAAAATTATCATAAGGACTTGGCATCAAGTCGTTTCTGACTGGTGAGCCTTTTCCAGGGCTTTGCAGGTAGAGAAGACTCAGAAGGGGTTTCCCATTCCTTTCTTCTCGGACGGCACCGCTGGCCCAAGGCGACCCCGGCTGGTTCTTTTTGTAAGAGGTGCAAGGGAGGATTTGAACGTCGAACCTCTGGCTCTGCAGCTGGAGAGACCTCAACCCCTGAGCTATCCGATCTTTTAAAAGCAGCCCTTTAAGGGAGGCGTCAATAAATCATCACCTCAGCCTCTTTAAGGCATGCATTAGTTTTATTTCTTTATTTTTTTTAAAGGAGGGCTTCTAGTCCTCATTAATGTATCCAGGCTAGATTGTGATCCCATTCACTCAACGTCATTTCTCAAGATGGTATGTGGTACCAGGTTAAGAACTTGATTTTTTTTTTAAAAAAAGTTCATTTATTTATTTATTACTACAACATCCCCAAATCCTGTCATTTTGCTGGATGGGAATGATGAAAATGAAAACTAAAATGTCAGGGAATGCAACATTTCCCCTAATATAGAGGAAAATGGTGGTTATACTCATGGTTAGGGTTGCAGGCCAGCATGAGTGGGAGGTAAACAGAATTAAATAGGATTTGGGTTGTTGTTGTTTTAAATAACCTGCTTTCTCATATCAGTAGCTGTTAAAACAACTCATAGCAGAAGAATTCAGGATTTCACCTTAAAATAAATGGCGCTAGGTCTGTATATCCACTCAGCTCTTAAGATACACATCCCACAATGCTTACAAGACTCAGGAAGGGATCCGATCCATTCCCACTTACTTCAAAGCAGGTATTTGTCACCATTTACTGGTGGAAAAATATGCACAGAATTATACTAGCGGCACTTCTTTCAGCCTGACAAAGAACCCTGTGAAATCTGATGGCTTGCAGGCACTAAATCCAATTTATATCTAAGCCCGATGGAGGAACAACAGCCAGAAGAGACCACCGCAGCCATGGTCTTACCGGAGAACGTTCCGGAGAAGACGCCAGGGGCATGGTTGACAAAGCTTTCGATCACAGCACCAGGTTTACGACTCCGGGAAGGTTGGGTTGGGGTAGCCGAGCTGTTACTCCGTGTGGTGCAGTCCACCTGGAATTTAAAAAGGAGACTCTGAAGCTCACACAGGCCATAGGAGAAGGTAGAACCTCTCCCTGATCTTTAGGAAGGAAAGCTCTTCGCAAACTATTTCAGACACCGAGCTACACAGAACGCCGCCACGGGCTCCCGAAGTTTCAAGCGACACTTGATTTCACAGCCAGAAACTCAGGCCAGAAGTGGAAACTGTCAATTTTTTCTTGCATGTCCAGCCTCATCTTAACCCACCAGCCAGAAGGGATTTGACATCAAAACAGTTCTGACTTAAGGCAGCCTTTTCCAGGGTTTTAATAACTAGTAAATTATAATTGTGAGCCTGCATTTTTCCTCTTTCCTCCTTGTGGCTTTTCCTTCTGTGTCGTGCCACCACTTCGCACGAGGAGCCAGGACTGGGGATCAGCTTGATGCTGAATAAAGCCAATGCCTGTACTGTATTCCTTTTAAAGCTTCTCTCCAGAACAAGGAGGACTAGAGTCTTTCTTTGTTTTTAAGAAACAAATCGCAACTCAACGGGAGACCACAGAAGCAGAGTAAAAACAAACAGGAATGAAATACGTAAGTTGTGCCCGAAACCATTTAAACCGTGGGCAAAGCAGACTCTGCGCATGCTCAGGAGACCAGGTTTGCAAGACGAGACAAAGCCTTTAAGCCTCGGCTCAGAATTAGGATTTTGAACGAGTCGTGAGCCGGGCGGACGCATGTTTGAGGAACGGGGCCTTATGGAAAATGCAAACTCTCTGGGAGAAAATAAGGAAAGGCTAGCTAAAAAGTCAGGAGACAGGGCGGTCTTTTCAGCAATAGCTCCCCCCCCAACATCTGGAATTTTTGTGGGCTAGCAACTTGGGTCAGGTTTTGGAAGCTGTGATTTGTAACATTTCAAATGTCCTGCTTGTAGGATGCAATGCATGCCCTGTATTTTCAAATAGTTATTTAAGTGTATTTATTGAAAATATTTTTGCCCTGCCTTTCTCCTTAAAAGGACCTCTTGAAATAGGTAAAGCACCTCAGAATTTGACATCCTCCCTGGCTTGCTATCCCTGGCGTTTCAATTTTTGGCTTATTTCAGCCCCCCGTTTGGGGGTTTGTTCATTCTCTCTTGGGTGGGGACCTCCTCTAAGTTTGTACAAGTGGCTGTCGTGTAGTAGTTGTGTTGGGGAAAACATGAAAACAATTTATGGCAGGATTTGAACCCAGAACTCCGGCACAACAATGTTGCCAGCCGGGCCCTGTCGCTCCTGACCATGCCACAACACAAGCCGTGAAGGCACAACGAACCTCTGAGCACGGCGAGGTCCCGCTCCCACTGGCTGGCGTGCTGGCCCCATGCGACCGGAACATGCCTGCCGTGACAGGCGTGGGGTGTGTGGCTGCAGTGCTACAATACGTCGACGTGGCTGAAGCAGGCGAGGAAGAGGCGGTGGGACTCGGTGGACAAGTGGGCGCTGTGGGGCCCCGGGCAAAACCGGATGGAGGGCTCCCAGCTCCGCCACCCCCGTGGAGGGGTCGGCAGCTCCCGGTGGCCGGCAGTGGCGTGGTTCCTGTAGCCCCTCCGGCGTGGTCTCCACGGCTGGTGACCACGTGGCGATGCTGGAGCTGAGCGCCGCTCTGCTGGGCGGCCAGCTGCAGCTGAACGAACATCATGTGGTCCCCGACGCGGAGGGCGAGCGTTAACGGCGACCTCCCAGAGAGAAAGTCGTTTACCTGGAGAGAAGAGATGCACAAAAGCAGGACTTTAGGGGGTGCTAATTGTTTTCTCTTTGCAAAATGACGAAATTAGGCAGCCTCGAAGACATTCGAAATCAGCCCCCTCTGCAAGGGCCTGCTCAGTGTTTGCACAAGGCACTGTCGTGACGTAGTGCTGCAGTGAAACATTTGGGAGGAGCGCCATTTAGAAATGGAGCTAATCACTTTATTCCAATTTCTTAGGATTTTATGGCCTTTCTACATCCATTTTTAATTTAAAAATGTACCAAGATTGTCGATTTGCAGTAGGAGTCCCACACAGCCCCCTGATTCGGGGCGAGTGGGTTTAAAAATTTATGTTTTCACTTAGGATCTTCCTCAGAACAAGCGCCATCAACGAACCCTTCCATGCCTAATCGCCTGGAGGCTCTGCTCGACTCGCCCCTGGCGTGCAGTTAACCCCCCCCCCAAAAAAGTTCCGTTTTGTGCTTTAATAACCTCTGATCACTTCTGGGTTTGGCCTCTGTGTCACCTGGCTGTTCGGACCCAGGCAAGGTTTGTCACACACCCCCGACCACCCCCCCAAAGCTCCAGGCGCAGGGTCAACCAGTGAAGCCAAACCTGCTGTTCCAGCTACACCTGTTGAATTCCTAACCCATCGGGGTAGGGCAGATCCAATGCGGGCCGTTCCCACCGCAATTTGCAGCCTGGCCTGTCAACACCTCCCCACGCCAGAGAGAAGATGCCTTTGGGGAGGGTTAATAAAAACCAAGACGGAAACAATCTGGCATAGCGTTCCAGAGTCACACTGGCCTCTGGGATAGGAAGGGGCGGGGAAGGGAAAATGGATGTCGGAATACAGTAAATATTTGCCTAAGCAAGGTGGAGCTCTCTGCTTTTTTACAAAGAACGACAAAGCTGGAGACCTTGGCAAAGGCGTAATGGGAAATTTTCACTTTGCCAGCTGAACCAGGAAGGGTGGTGCTAAGAGAGACATCAGGAGGAAAAAAAATATGAATTATTACTCATTTTTCTTCTCTCTTCCTTCCCCACCAAAAAGGAAGAGCCAGGAAAAAAAAAGAGAGAGCAAAGGGGGTGAGGATTCAAACGAAGCTTTTAGGGGCGATTGAAATAGTAAGACTCCAAACCCCAAGATGCTGGACCTCATGTTTAATTTAATTTGGTTTTTTAATTAAATGATTGACCTGGCATAGGAGAGCAACATTTGAAAAATAGTAAGAATCATTTTTAATTTTTTTTTACCTTTGTAGCTCACCTTTCCACTCAGAGAGTGCTCAAAGCGGTTTACAAAGTTTTTTAAAGAGAGAAAGATGACATTTAGAAAAGACTTTCATGAAATGGACGGTGCACGCAAATCCACCACACTATAAAGCCATAAAAATGGGCAAAGTGCTTTGAGAGGAAAACACGAGAGGCTTGTCAATTAAGGCCTCCTGAGCATGCACAGAGTGTTTCTGTCGTAGACAGAGCCGAGGGTTACAGAACCAAGCAAAATTTCGGGGATTTGGTTGGAAAAAGCAGTGACGCGCACCCCCGCTGTTTACAAAATGCGAGGCTTCCTTTGAACCCAAGAGTTAACCCTTTCTTTTCACACAAATTAAAAAGTCAGCAAAAGAAAAGAAACTCACACACTGGTGGGTGGCCCTCGCTTGATGCCGGGGCATCACGCCGGAAATCTTCCCCCACCCAACGTGAAGGGAAAAAAAAACACTTACACGTGCACCACAGCTATGAATTTTCTACAAATCCAACCAGAAAGAGAAACAGAAGAAAAAAAAAGATATATTTCTGAGAAACTCAGAAGGAGGACTTGAGAAGCTGAAGCTGAGCTGCGTGCCAGATGGGAAGCCACAGGGAGGAAGACGTGGGCGGGGAGGCGATGTTGAAAGTTTCGGACATCCTTGGGGCGAGAAGCAGTGGGTTTGAGAGGAGGCCGTTTTTACACGTGGAAATCAGAAAGAAATGGGGGGGGGGGCGGTCGAAAAGGTAGAATAGGTCTCAGGAGAGCAGGGTTCGAATCCCCACTCAGATAGATAGGAAGTTCGCCTGTGGTGTGCAATCACTGCTATTACTTAAAACAATACCGAGATCCCCTATATGCTGCACATTGATTTGTGTGCATCAGCCAGGGGAACTCACTGCCACTGGATGGCCAAAGCCCAGGTTCCTAGTTTTTGCCAAAATATTAGCTGAAATCAGGGATGCCGTGATGCCAAAGATGTGATTGAGGCAAAACAGGGAGGGGGGTTTGTGCTTCAAAATTTCCCAGGATGCAGCTGCGTGGTTTTTACTGGAGGTGCTATGCTGGGTGAAATGGATCTTTGGTTTGATTTCACCAGACACAGAGTCCAGACTACGAAGAAAGCAACCTCGTGGCTTCCAGAGAACTCTACTACCACCCCCATCTTCCCCACCTAAGCTGGCTGGGGATGATGGGAGCTGGAGTTCCCACTGAATAACCTCCAGAGTCTCATGGCGCCAACTTTAGTTCTGGCCGGGTGGGTAACAAGACATTGACTGACATGCTGTAACCACGATCCCACACTGTCTCCCCTCCACAACCACAGTACTGTAGTGGGAAATTCAGTGCTTAAACCAGTAGGCCCTCCACCCATCCAGGAAATGTTGGATAGCTCAGTGGGTTAGGTCTCCGGCTGTGGAGCCAGAGGTCGGGACTGGATGACCTTGAGGTTCCCCTTCCAGCTCTGTTGCTCTAAAATTACTAAAATGATATCCTAGATTGAGACTCAGAAAGGCTGCCGTGAAGGACATTCAAATGTCAGGATGTAGCCCTGCAGACCAAGAACCAAGGTCCTCCACACTCTTGTATTCCCGATCACCATGTAGGGGTGTGAAAGCTGGACAGTGAAGGAAACTGATTGGGAAAAGAAATGATTGGTTGGAGAGGTGGTGCTGGAGGAGAGCTTTGCACCTACGACGGACAGACAGAAAGACAAAGAAGTGGATCAAATCAAGACGGAACCATCCCTGGAGGTGAAAAAAATGAGGAAACAGACTGTCCTACATTGGGTACATCCTCAGAAGGCAGGATTCCCCAGAAGAAAGGGTAACATTGAAGAAGGCGGAAGCCAGCAGGAAAAGAGGAGGACCCCAACATGAGAGGGATGGACTCCCTTAAAGAAACCACAACTTTTGAGTTTGCAAGAGTTGAGCCAGGACATGGAGGACGGGAATTTTTTTGAGATCACTCCCCTTCTGAAGGTCGCCATACATCAGAGGTGACTGGATAGCACTGACGCATGCCCAGGAATGGGGTCATGGGGGGGGCTTATCTGTCTCCCCCTCCTCCTCCCAACTCAAATCGGCCCTCCCTGGGCCTCAAGGGAGCCTCTCTGCCTCCCACCAGCCCCGCCTCCGTCATGACTCTCAAGGCCTCCCGCGGGCCCCCACCAGCGCCAACAGAAAAGCCCCCCCACTGGCAGCCAGCCAAGAGACACACAAGGCTAACAAAGCTATTTTAGAGAGAGAGAGGCGAACCTTCAAGGAGGAAAGGAGACCGAACCCCAAAACAACCCCCAGATGTGGATTGCAGAATTTAGCCAAGCTCTCCCCCCCCACTACCCCGGGGGGGGGCAGAATCTCCTTTTCTTAGCCTCTGAATGGGAACTCAGGTTTTTTCTTTGTTCTCTTGAGCAGCCAGGAAAAGGACAGATGGTAATTATAATTATTGTTCGCAAAAAAAAAAGAAACAAGAAAAAGAAAAGAAAAGAGGGGAGCTGTTTCTGGGAAAAAGTTACCCCGTGGCCACGGGGTGTAGGTGTGTCTGCTTCAGTGGGGGGGGGGCTTTCCATCCCTTAAAAAAAAGTCTGGCCAGGTTGATTTTGTGGGAGCATGGAGCGAGGACATTTCGGATCCAGGTTCGAGTCCCACCTGAGCCACATTGGACGTGGGGGGGTCTGCTTTCCCAAAGACCCAACGCCCCAAACAGGGAGAGAAGCAGGGAGCCCTCGATGGGCCAGGTTTCCAGACCAAAGCGAAACCTACACCACCTCTTCACTCCCACCTCCGAGCATAAACTGGATTATTGGGGTGCAAGGAAATGCAAGCCAAAATGGATCGAGGCATGCTGACCGGCCACCTCAACACAAACAGTCTGTGGGGCCCCCGTTGGTGTCTAACCGCTAGGCGGCCCTCCTTCCCCTCCCCGCCTGGCAGAAAACCGGCGATTTCTCCCCGCTGCTTTCTCCTCTCCTCCAGATTCCTTTGACGTCAGAAGCCAATCTTAAGTTGGTGGATATGTCCCTGGCCCGCCCGCCCGGGCTGGCTGACTCACCCTCCCTCCCTCCTTCGCCCTACATCGGCGTCATTCAAACCCAGGCCGTCCTTTGCGCCGCCCGCCCGCCCAGGGACCTACGCCAAGCACCTCCGTGCCAGGGGCTCACAGCGGCACTAAAAATAACCTTTCCTTTGTGCCTGCGATGGATTTTTTTTTCTCTCCCCAAGAGAAGAGGGAGGGAGCCGGCCAAAAATGCCAGCCAGTTCCCAATGAAAGATGCCCTTCTGGAGAGCAAGCACGACACAGGCACTGCCCCCCCACCCTGGCTGTCCCCGCCAGAGGACCGACACCCCCCCCGTGTTGTCCACCCTTATGCTTCCAGGGGTTCTAGTCCTCATTATTTTTGTTTCTGGAAATCAAAACAAGCAAGGTCCTTGCTTAAAACGTCCAACCCACAACTTTGGGGGGAACACCAGTGGCTTCTGAGGACCGGGCACTCAGTCCATGCTCTATGGTGTCCTTTTGGGATGCAATTCTTCTTTTTTTATATCCAAAGGAGACAGCAGGAATCGAACTAGAGACTTCCCTATGCAAAACCAGACACAATCCCAGGGGCTGCTTTTTTCCTTTTAACACTCAGTTTCCCCTTCAAAATCCCAGGCACAGTGTTTAGGGGCAAGGGATTCCTCCAGCCTTCCACACACACACACAAAAAGGGATTATACTACAACTCCCATCATGCTGGGCCGTGACGGGTGCGAAGATGGGAGCTTACAATGCCCTTGGACTAAATTGCAAAACTTTTAATCGGAACGAAGAGAAGTCCACCAGGAGTGGGGGAGGGGTGGGTGATTCCTTGGCACTCTTCCCATGCTCAGAGGCTCAGCACCGAGCCACAAAGTTGGAAGACTTTAAATTCGCCGGCCCTGTTTTTTCAACTATCAACACGCTTCAAGGACGGAGAGTAAGATAAAGCGGCTAGCTAGGGGCAGAAGGAACTTGGGTGTCTCCTCTGGAGTAAGCAGCTGTCCAGTTTCATTTCTCTGAAGGGGAACCAGTGGAGCAGAGAAGCCAGCACAGCTGCGGTCAGAGAATATATAAAAATAAGAGAAATTCAACTTACAACTGTCTGAAACCCTCTGCTTTTCTTTCTCTTGAATTCAGACCCTTCTAGCTGGACGGGGAGGGGGGGAAGCATGCATTTAGAAAAAAGTTGGGCGGTAGAGGAGAAAAGCAGGGGGAGTGCAGAACTGATCAACCCTGTCTCGAACTCGAGAGCGAGCCAGTTCCGAGAAGTGAGGGAATGACTCAGAGTACACCCAATTCTTTCTCTGGCGTGCGCTCGGCGACACAACTGGCCCGAGATAACCTTGCTCTTCCTTCCCTTTCCACAACCCCCCCCCCGCTCCGGCTGTAGGTGGATGGGGAACATCTACAGAAGCTCGGCTCAGTCACCACCACAAACTCCATCATCCCCAGCTGCTCGGCCCATATCGCAGCCGGAAAGCTTAGGAGGTTTGGCCTTCGGTTGTGTCCCCCCCCCCCCCGATCTTGACACGGGCTGGATTCCTTTCTAGGAGAATGGGATAGGTAGTCCAAATGTTTGCAAGGGGCCCAGGGGCTGTAAGTTCATCTTTTTTGGGGGGGGGGGGAACTGGATGTCAAAAAGATTTAAAAGCCAAAAACCCTGCTCTTCCAAAGGTGTTTCTCGACCTTTTTCTTTCCTTTCCTCCCCAATGGGCAGCCACGGCCGGGGCAGTCTATCTGACTCTTGAAACAAACATACCCGGGAAACCGGAAAAAGAGAAAGAGAAGAAGGGATTGCTTCCGCCCCCCCCCCAATCATCTTTTCTGGGTCGGAAGCCTCGGCGGCCTTCTCTGCAGGGAGAGGGCAGGACTATATAAAATGGGGGAGGGGGAAGTCGTTTCCATAGCTCCATTCTATTATTCAGAGGTGGTAAATCTATAAATAAGCCAAAATCATCGCCGGGGTTTAGCAGAGCATCTAAGAACCCACCTTTTGAATCTGTTTTCCTTTCTCTTTCTCATGCCCCCTTCTCCAAAGTGAATGATTTCAACCCATCATTCTTCCCCCACCCTCCTCTGTACCCCCCCCACTTTCAAAAACACCCCCAACTGTGCCAGGAAGAGGGACAGGCAGAGTGAGGGGACGGGAGACAAGACGGGGGGGGCTTTAAACATTGCCACCGTCTTATCTGGCATCCCCCCAAAAAGGGCAAAATGAGTCTCCCCGGCAGGGGCGTTGTGCAGCGGGCTGACTCCAAACCCCATCGTCCCCACCTGGTAGAGGATGGAAGGCACTGGCCTGCTGCTCTCCTCCGCCCATGTCATTGACAAAAGCCTTCCAGACACCCCCCACCCCTTCTGCCACCGCACACCGGAATGAACAGGCGGGCTCGCCGAACGACGCCGAGGCAGGGCGTGACGTCAACCGGCCATGAATGAAGAGGAGGGGCTTCCGACTGTCTCCTCTTTCCTGCCTTGAAAATACCCCCCCCCCAAGAATGACAGCTCACAATCCATTTCCCATCAAGAGACACTTTGGTGGGTGCGGATGAAAAGGCGGATGCGCGCCCCCCCCCGTCCTCACTAGACACGGAAGGAAGGAAGTGGCTCACGCGCACGCACGCACGCACCCTCGCTACCAGCCTCCTGGGCTCAAGGCGAGATGAAGAGGAGGAGAACTAAGAGGCGCCCAGTTGTGTCACTTCCCTGCACCATTTTTATTTTTATTGAGAAGGGGGAGCAACCCGAGGCCGGCACTTTTTCACTACAACTCCCATTTGCCCCAGCTGGTTGGCCGAGGACAGTGGGGTTCGTCTTGCAAGACACCAGGGAGACACCCGGTGGCCGAGACCTTAAGTCTTTCCTCTTCCCCCTTTTTTTCATCTCGTGGCGTGTCTTTCCGATTCTCAGCGCATGGGTAAGAACCGAGCCTGCCTGGTTTCCCATGTCAGGACCCCCTCTGGCAGCCTTTCCAGGCTTTTTAAGTGTCAACCCAAAATAAAGCTCCCCTTTTTAAGATTAAATTTCAGTGATTCAGTCACTGTAGAGCCAGAGGTTGGGAGTTTGAATCCCCCACGGGGTGCTCTTTGACAAGGGCTGGACTGGATGATCTCATAGGGTCCCCTTCCAGCTCTACCCTTCTAAGACGTCTTAGGTTGCCCGAGTTCAAGATTTCTGCCAGCCAGGGGCCTGGCACCTTCACCCCTTAAAACCCAGCATCGTCCTGCTTCTCCCCTTTACAATCCACCTCTTTTGGGTCCCACCAGCCCCACGGCCTTGGCCACCACTCCCCACCCCACGGAGGCAGAGAGGAGGGGGGAAGTATATAGAGAAAAAGAAGGAGCGGAAAGCAGAAGTGGCCTAATGAAAGCCAGTCCCACCACAAACAGATGGCCGGCCGGCCCATCTTCTTCCCGTCTCTAACCTTTCTGTTTTTCCGGCCAGGAGAGGTGACAATTCCCCCCCACCTCAACCCCCCCAAAAAACTCTCTCTCCCTCTCTTTTTGCTGGAAAGCATGGGGAGCAAAAGGAAGTAAGGAGAAGAGAATTACCAATCCGCTCATCGTCCTCCCTCTCAAAAGGTCCTGCTGAGCAGGTAAGCACAGAGGGTGGGGGTTAAAAAAAAAGAGAAACGAAGGGCGTCCAGAACCCGGTTTCCCTTGCAAATCTCTTCCACCCCAGGTCAGAAATGCAACCCTGGAGAAAGGGCTCTGAAATCGAGCTTCCCACCTCCTTGGCAAAAAATAAAAACAAAAAAAACCCAGCCGTGCATCCCTGGATCTGGAGGTGTGGGAAATAGGGGTGATGGCCAGGGACACAGGAGGGGAGATAGGAAGGCATTGCCTGGAGAGGGGCTTAAACGGACAGGGTGGGTGGGGACTTATTTATGTCAGGATTTGCACGCAGGACAGGTGGCTGAAATGGCCAGAGCTTGGGCCACAAGGGTCGTCCCGGTCCCATTGGATTTTAAAAATAATACTCCTCAGATATCCCAAGAAGCTTTCTGGCCTCTAAATGGAATTTAGCCTCCTGGGGCTTCCGCTCACCCACATCACCAAAACAAAGGTTTTCCAAAACATTTTATTGCCTTTTAAAAACAACGTAACAATTCCCTGCAATCCGAAGTCAGTGGGGAAAGCAGAAATGTGGATTTAAATTCCATGAACAAAGGGAAAGTGTTCTAGGCTAGGGGGCTCAGCAGAAAAGAGGTAGAGAGAACTACAAATCCCATCATGCTGGCTCATGTCCTTTTCACCAAAATCCTCACTCAGGTCCACCACAAAGGCAAATAGAAAAGCGGGCATGAACGCAGGCGGTGACGACAACCTCCAGCCTCGCTATGGACTAGAAACTTGACACCATGACATATTTGTCCTCTTTTTCTCCAACCACAGACTGATCATGGATTCAGGAAAACTGGATTTTCAGCCTCTTGATGGTCTCAGTTTTTTAAAAAGGGTACCTGTTCCTAGCTCCTAGACCCTTCCCCCTCAAAAGAGAAGCTGATCCAGAATGTGAGAAAGCCGCCTCATGAGATCCACCTCTGCCACAGACTTAGCCTTCTAACCCCAGTCATGTCACCTAAACTTTTTTCCCCAAAATCACTCCTTGCCCTCTTCGAGGTAGGGAAGACAACACAACCCAGAAAAGTTCAAAGGCATATTTGCAATTAATTCAAAGAACACCAGTGCTTTTTTCACAAAAACAACAGCGCTTTCGATCTTACCTGAGTTTCTGTTAAACTTTCCAATGCCTGCATCACAGACTGTTCTGGTCTGGACGCTTGAGACTGCAAAAGAAGGGGGGGAAACAAAAGAAAAAATGAGTTTTCTTTATTTGCCACTTTCTCTGCTCACCTGGACTCTGTTTCCAATCGCCTCTAGGCGATCAGGAAGGAAAAAAGCTGCAGCATTCATAACTATGGACCATTCACACATGCGGGGTCTGCCAGCGACAAACTGTGATGTCTGAACAGGCATTTAGCCAGCAAAATGTTTGGGGTTCGGGGCAGGCCAGGAGTTTTGGCCCTTTTAACCTTCACCCTCTTTCAGAAGAGGAATGCCCCGTGATTTCGGTCTCTGGCTGCAGAGCCAAAGGTTGGGAGTTCGAATCCAGCACTGGGCCTCCTTGACAGGGGCTGGACTGGATGATCTCAAGGGTAGACTGTAATGCTGGATGGGACCTTAAAGGCCATCTAGTCCCACCACCACCCCATAACTAGCCTCCTGGGGGGGGAGGAGAGGAAAGGGGAAATATTTACCATCAAGCCAGCTTCGACCGTAGGAACTAAGGTCAATTTACTGCCTTCGCTGACCCCGAGATCTTGCAGTTTGCCAGAACTAAGGCGACTAAGGAGAGGGGGAAAAGGGATGTGGGAGGGAGACAAAGGGGGAAAAAAGCATTACTTGAAAGAGAAATACTGTTAAAAATACATGGATCGTGAAACACTTCCGGATGCAAACTTCTGCTGAGGAAACCCAACCCTTCTGAAATCAACGCCCGGAAAAGAATCAAAAGGGTAAGGTGGGATGGGGGGGGGAGAGAGATAATAATTCATTTCCTTACGTGGGTTTTTTTTTCTCCCCTAAACCCACATATCTGAGAGTTTGCAAAAAAAATCTTTTATTCCCCCTTGAATACACCTTCAACCCATTTTGGCCTTTTTTCTTTTTGGCTTCTTATGAAAATGTAATAGCTTAAGTTTGTCTGTGCGAGCTGTTCTCTCTCTTTCTGCCGCCCCCAGACCGATCCAGGCCTCTCTGGCGTTCACCCGCAGTCATTTATCAAGGAACGCTGCTCTTCCCCCCCCCTCAACTCCCCTGCTCCGCCAGACAACTGGAGTGACAGCCCTAAAAAAAAAAAAAAAAACAGAAAGAGAGAGAGGAGCAAAAAAAAAAACCAAAAAAAAAAAAACTCATT